TCTATACGGGGGTGTCCTCAAGGGGTGGTTTCCCCTTTGCCCCACTAAGGTAGACTCCTTCTTTTGGAGTAAGGCCTGTCTCCAGTGTCCATCCAATGCACAGTATGTACCTGACAGCATAGCCTGTCCAGTTCCTGTTGAAAACCGGTCAAGCAACTGCTTTCTCAACGAGAAAGAACACAGTTATTGTTAAGATTTCTCCCTAGCACTAATGATGTATTCTGGGGCTCTTTTTTGTTTGTTTGTTTCACATGTGTATGCATGCATATGTGTTCAAGTGTATGTGAAGGAGCTCGTGGAGGCCTGAGGTTGATGTTGGGCATTTTTATCCACCCCCACTTTACTTATTAAGACAAAGTCTCAGCCGAATCCAGAGTTCATGAATTTAGCGAGTCTTCCATGGGAACCTACTGTCTCTGCCTCCTGAGTTCTAGGATATAGAGTGGCCACCATGCTCCCTCTCCCTCCCGCCAGCTTTTATGTGCTACCAGGGTGTCTGAAGGTCAGGGATGGCATGGCACCAGGGGCAGAAAGCCAAGGACTCACATCTTGATCAGCAAGGACAAAGCGAAGAGAGCAAACTTGAAGCGATGTGGGTCTTTCTCAAAGCCCACCTCTGGTAATGTGATTCCTCTGGTAAGGCTGTGCCTCTTAAACCTCCCCAAAGAGTGCTACCAGCTGGGGGCTAAGTGTTCTGGGGGGGCAATTCTCTTTAAAGCACCCTGCAGAGCGAGCACTTTATCCAGTGTGGGTCAGCTCCCCAGCTCTCTGCTGATACTTGTGAGGTGAGGATAAGGTCACAGCATTGTCGCTGGCAGGAGGTGAGGACTAGATTGGAACCTCTGACAGCAGAAGTCAGCAGACAGGACGGGAGAGGAGCCTAAATTTATTTATACTCACCTCTCAGGTCATGCTGACCTGAAATGGGAACTGGGTGGAAACCAGGAGACAAACATAAAAATGAAATGACTCAGTCCCATCTCTCTGGCCCTACCCCCCCAAACATATAAATCATGGACCTTTCCTGATGCACGCCCTGACTCAGCAGGCCCGCTTGAGGTCTGAGAGCCTGCATTTGAGACAAGCTTTCTGCTCCTCGGAGCACATGTTGGGAAGCGAGGCCCATGAGAATATGGAGAGATCACAGTGAGAATGTCCTGGTGACGGGCCATCCTTTGCTTCAAGGCCGGCCCGTCTGTTTCCAGACAGCAGCGTTTGGAAAGCCTGTGGGACATGGGAGAAGCAATGAGGACATTGAGTGGCGTCTGTCTGCATGGGGTGAATCTCAAAGAGCCCGGTCTTGATCTTGTACAAGATGGGAGGCTTGGGAGGGTTTAGCTCCTCCTGTCCAGCTCTTCCTTCAGCCTGGGGGTGATGTGCCTCACTTGCGCCTAAGACACTGGCAGATTTTATCAATGCAAAAATGGGTCCTTGCCAACCTTCTGGCCAGGCTAAAGGACGCCTTGCTCAGAAGTGGAAAGGCTTGCAGGGCCAGATCTCTAGCTGGAATCAGGCTCCACATTGACCCTTCAGGGTGTTTATTCTCTGACCCTTGCTCATAAGAAAGTTGACTTTCTTGCCCTACAGCCTTGATATTCAAAGTCAGGATGACTGAGCTACAGTATCTTCACCATTTGGGCAGAGAGACAGTCTTCTACTCCATGACAAGCCTTCCAAATCCCAGCTGGATTTCAGCAGATTCCAACGTGATGAAACGTGTACGTGCGAGAAGCACCGCCCTTCGTGGGCACCGTTCAGACCTGGAAATGAGTTGGTCAATGCTAATGCTTGAGTGGAATGTTCTGAGTACAACCATACGTATGAACTCTCCCTCTCCACCATCAGATATGACACCACATGTTTCTCCAGCCTTCCTTTCCTTCATCAGAAACATCTCACGGCATCCAAGAGGGCGACAGGTGGCCTGTCACGTCAGAGACTTTACCCCACTAGTCAGAGAAAGTGACTAGGTGCTCTTTCTGGGCCTCGAGGTTTACGTGGGCATGTCCAACCTTTTGTCATCACAAAAGGACTCGCTTAGCCACAAAGTTCACACTTAAGAACCATGCAATCGAGTTACCAAAAAAAAAAAGTTTAAAAAATTCTCAATATTATAAGCAATTTTATAGTGTTGCTAAAATTGGACTGGTGGGTTGAGCTTGTATATCTTATATACTTGAACTTGCAAAACCCATTTCCTTCCCAGGACACCCCACATTTTATTGAGTAAATAAAATCCTCTGGGGACACACCCATTTCCGAGGCTTAACGGCCTCAGCGGAGCCCTTTTCCACCAATACTGCTTGAGTATTTCCACAGTTGGGAGCTGACCAAAGCAGACTTGGGCAGTAGCCTGTGGGATGTTGCTCGTCCAGCACTGGGGAGAGCGAATAACGTTCTGGGTGTGTATGGGAGTTCTGGGAGTGTCTCCATTTGCTACGGGTTCCTCCTGGGCCTCATCTCAGAGCGTTTGGCTTTCCAAGGAAAGATGGCTCAGTGCCCTGAACTCCTCTGCCCAGTGTGACGCCCAACTCAGGGCAGATGCTTGATTAATAGAGGCGCTCAAGGCCTGCCAACCTCACCTGTGACAGTCACAATGTTATCGAGGCACTGAGAACATTGGAAGAGGCCATGAGCGAAGGAGGTTGCAGGAAATAACCATGGAGAAAGAAATGTATGATGGGAAAGTGCCGTTTTGTTACTGTGGTCCTCAGAGGTAGACCATCAAGAATGCTGACAACCGAAAATCGGAGCCACAAGCTCCCCAAGTAGGGGAGCCTCCCAAGGTGACTGTGGCAGATCTCCTCTTGGACCAGCAGAGGGCAATGCTGACTCCGTAGACACCAAGGAGTGTTTGAGTCTGACTTCTCAGTGGACGTGACCTCAGTCAGCAAAGGAGCTAGCAGGGAGAAGAGTCTTCAGGGTTACTTGAGAAGGGACTTTCCCACAGGGAGCTTACTTGTGCCAACAACTTAAGATCAAGAAAAAAGAAATCAAACCGAAGAAACAGACAGACACCATAAACTCTTGGGCTGCCTCTGTCGCCAGTGATTCTAACTGGGAAATTTTTTTTTATTCTTTTATTACTTTAAAAAATACCAATCCAAATTCCCACTCCCTCCCATCCTCCTAGTCCCTCCACACACCCTCCCACCCCTTCAACTTCCAATCCTAAAAGAGGGCAAGGCGCCCTGCCCTGTGGAAAGTCCAAGGCCCTCCCTACTACATCTAGGTTGAGCAAGGTTTACATCCAAAGAGAATAGGATCCCGAAAAGCCAGTGCATGCAGTAGAGATAAATCCCAGTGCCACTGTCCGTGGCCCCTCAGTCTGCCCCAACTGTCAACCACATCTAGAGGGACTAGTTTGATCCCATGCTCGTTCACTTCTGACTAGAAAAATCTTGAGATTTTCAGCATTCCTTGGGTGGACTCTAATTTTGAAAGGTTTAGGGTTTCACTTCCCTGGAAAAAAGATCAGAAGGCACGGCATTTAGTGAACTTTCCAGAAGCATCATAGTCATCACATCCTGGCACACACAACTTCTTTCCTAGTGGTCCCCAGGGACAGGAGTAGTGACTTCTGAGTCTGTGACTGGACCGTCCTTCTGCCTATAGTAGGGCAAGGTTGGTTCAAAAACCTCTCGTCACCATAGCACAGACCTAGGCAAGCCTCTGATCCCCAGAGCGACAGCTGCCTGGATCAACTAACTCGGCTACGTGCGTTGATGACCTCATAGCACCAACTGTGCGTGGCTCACTACCCGCAGGCGCTGCTAACTCTGCCCCTTCCCCAAGCCTTCCGCTACACCTTAGATTTCCTTGCTAGAATCTTACTTCCTTGGGGCTAGCCTCAGACGCAGGATTTCTAGGAGGACTTTAGAATTTTTCTGAACGTGACCTTGGATGGCTGTGGGGGGTGGGGGGACAGAAGGAGGTGTTGTGAAGCTTTGTGGATGGGGCCATCAACTTGTGATCAAAATGGACACACCTGTTTTGTTTCGTCTTGTTGGCCAGCCTCTACTCATAAGTCATGTAGGATCCTTTTGTGTGGAAATAAAGCCAGCTGTTCTCTTGGCGACTGTGGCCGGAGCCTGGGACCAGTCATGATACCAAACAAACCCCGAATGTCCTTGGGTGAAGGAGACTGACTTGGCCCAGGGCAGGTGCTCTGTATGAGGTGGCATCAAACTAACTCTACTCCATTTTATTCTGGGAAAGACGCAGGCGGAGTGGCACCAGAGGGCGGGTCCCTGAGCTGGACTCCACGCTGAATGCAGTGAGGCCCCTTCCTGAGCGTGCTGTACCACACTGCGTCTAGAACAGAGCTGTCAGACCCCATGCATCTCATTGGTTTCCTCCCTATTACTGGCGCCTGTGGGCTCGGTGTTTCTGCCTCACGGCTGAAGGATTTAACAGAATGATCGGATCTTCATCTTGACCCGCTCAACCAGATATCATGAGCACAATTCTGGTCGTTCCCCACCCCCAGCCCCATGTCTTGGTGCCCCAGGTGAAAACACGGAGGCCTGAGGTGAGCAGTCAGGTTTACAGGATCAATACTGCATCTAGGAGGAAGGGGGCAGTGTTAGGAGGCGGAGTCTAAATGACATTCTTCCAACCTCCTTCACAGTGATGGACAGCCTTGGTGTCTCTGCCTGGGATCCTGATCGCTGAACCTCCAACCTGTTCTGTGCCCCACGTGCTCAAATTGATAACCTACTTGATTGGTGGGTTCCAAGATGAAGGTCCCTTCCACAGTTCTAATTTTAGCATGGATAGCCCGGACACGAGAGGGCAGGCATGTGGCTGTCCGTTGTTAACTTCTTTCAATCAGCCCTTAAGGCGGGGTTAGTGAAGAAACGCCTGCACCCAGCCGCCTGGGCCTCTCCAGGGAACAAACATGCCCCCACCAAGCCCACGGTGGGCCTGACCTCAGGCTCATCTGCTGGTGACTGCAGCAGACACCAACACCGGTGAACTTTGGATGACTTCGGAATCCCATCCCAGGTTAAACTTTAGCCAGCCGTCCAGGTAGCAACTCGATACACACTTTGTTAAAAGGATCCTGAAACCTAACACAGAGCCTCTGCAGACAGTGATAAGAGGCTTGGAGAGGCGGGAGAGGGACGGTGTGCAGGCACGGACTCCGGTTGACATCGGGAGCACTTATCAGTAGACGGGCAGGGTAGATTGCGCCCAGAAGTACCTGAAATTAAGTGATGCTCACGGAAGACACCCACCTTGAACTCAGAAGCCCCGAACGAGCTCTGTGTGGCCCGGAGGAGGTCTCCATTTTATATGGATCTTGGGAATCCTGGCAAGTCCATGCAGAAGGGACATGGCGTGAATGAGTCCCTAAGTGAGTTCAGTCCCCACTTTGATACTAATCACGTGGGTTAGTCGGCCTCTCTGGGTCTGCTTCCGTGAAACAGAAAGCTGTGCAGTAGAGTGCTTGAGAGTGGGTCTTAGATCTCAGATAGACTGGATTTCCAGTCTTCACTCAGCCACTTGCTAATGCTTTGATCCTGTGTGCTATTTTTCTCATTGTGACCCAGTCCGTGACCCAAGTTAAGGGACAAAGGGTTTGCTTTGTTCGTGGTTTCAGGGCCCTCAGTCCATGGCAGCTTGGCCTCACGCATTTGTGTAGAGCATCCTGTGGGTAGGAGCCTGTGGTGGTGGCTCTTTTTCACTTGGGAGACGGCAAGCCAAGAGAATGTGTCCAGGGACAGGCCAGGGTGACCCACCAAAGACAAGTTCCTAGTGACTTGCTTTCTCCAACTACGCCTTAACTACCTTCCACACATCCTGATATGACCATCAATCGTGTATCCATTCAGGAATGAATCCATCTTTAGGCCAGAGCCCTCAGGACCAGCTAGCCTCTGGAGAGGGCCTCTCAGAGACACCCAGAAGTGTGCTTGACTAACCCGCTAGGTGGGTCTATTGTTTGAGCCAATCAAATTGATAATCAAAATTACCCATTATTCTTGGGTAAATCCTCCTAGTGCTCGACTGAAGGCATTGCAGGTAGGAAGGCTGTGAGGACAGAGCTGGGCTCCTAATAAGTGAGAGACAAAAGATGCTTTGTGCTTGAGGATGACTGAGCCAGCTAGCCAACCCCCTCCACCCCAATCCTCCACCCCCCACCCCCCACCTTGGCATGCAGGACCAACTGGTAGAGAAAAAGAACCAAGTGGTGAAATTTAATTAGGGTTTTGGTTTTGTGTGATGTCAGACATTCAAGAGTCTCGGGGTTTGCTGGCAAAGGTGGATGGGAGACCTGAGTTTGAGCAATGGGTCAAGGGTCATTGTCCTGCTGCTCTCAGACCTGGGCCCCAATGTTCATCGCAGGAGACCCAGATATCACAGTAGAGCAGACAGATAAGGGAGAGCAAGGGATGATGGTTCGTACCTTGCTAGCTGCTCAGGAAGGAGAGCCTACTCTACGGTTGGTAGCCCAAAGCTTGTGGTTCTGACCTAGCCAGTGCACCTGGCCCTTCCTGCACTTCCTCGAGGCCGGGGAGGAGCCGAGAACCCCCAGGTCAGCTGATGCTCTAGGACAAGGGACCGAAGCAGGGTTAGAGAGGTCTCTGCAAGGGTCTCTTCCAGGAGAGAGCACAGAGCACAGCCCAGAGAGAGGTGTGGCATGAGCGGAAGGTCTGCTACCTTCAGATTAACCTCCTCTGTGAATGATGTTTGGTGTTGGGGCTTTTGGGAAGCCAGCAGGTCAGGGTAGGTGAAGTCCGTAGGAGGGAGGATGCCCTTTTAAGGAGCGGTAGACAGGTTTATCTCCTTTCTCCCGGAAGCCAATGGTGGAACACCTGAAGCTTTGAGTGCCAAGATGTCTAGCAATCCAAACGAGTTAATGATCTCAGTAAAATGAAACAGGAGGTCTATGACCCAAAAGGTCACCCAGGGCAAAGACCTCTCTCCTCTCCGCGGCCTTTTTTACCGGCTCCCATCAGGACTTTGGGACTTTCTGGTCAAACTCTTCCCTGTTTTTTTTACCAACACACTCTACATTTTCGAGCAGGCCTTTGTGGGGGCAGGGAAGAAGAGCAGAGCCTGTGGCTGGGGTCTCAGCCAGACAGGCCCGAGGGCTGGGTGAAGGTGGAACACCGAGTCTCTGGAGAAGAGGTGATTTCTGAGAATGAGGCACGAGAAGCGGCTTTCTGTTCTGACGATAAAATAGACAAGCCCTCAGAAGAGTGGGTAATTAGAGATCTTCAAGGCCGCCTCTCCTGGTAACAGGAGACAGCTGCTTCTAGCCACCGCATGAGTGCTTTGGACCCCTCGGAGAAAAGGAAAAGTGGGCAGACACCCACAGGCCTGTGTGGGGATCATTGGCACAAGGCCTTGGCCTGGACCATGAATCCGTTCCTATTGTTGATGCAAAGCGGGGAGGTATTGGGTGAGGAGGGGAAGCTGGGGTTTATGTAAGCAAGTCCTTTCCACATTTGTGACCCGCTTCGGACTCCAGTGTTTGCTTCACAGATGACGAACCCGAGGTTCAAGAGATTATCATCTGCTTTAGGAAGTACTTAAGATATGATTATGTCCCAGCTCTGGAAAACTAGACTCTTTCCCTTCAAGGTATGGTGGCAGATGATGGCCACACTCTCTCCTGTTCCATGTGTGCATTTGATATTCCTTCTATTGACGTGGTACCCGAAAGTCTGAATTTGTTTGTTTGTTTGTTTTGAGACAGTATCTATCTCCCTGTGTAGCCCCGGTCAACTCGAAACTCCCTATGTAGACCAGACTGGCTTCAAACTCGCAGAGATTTGCTTGCCTCTGCCTCCCAAGTGCTGGGACTAAAGGCACATATCACCAGGTCCTGCCAACGTCTGTGTTTCAAGAGTCTGCAGAATCGTCTAAGGTAACTGCTGCTCTGGATGGCTTGTCGGTTACTGAGATCCTCTACACCACACCACCTCCCTTTCCTCGGCTTCCTGCCAGTGCCTCAGGTCCTCTTGACAAACTTCTCTCTCAAGGCTATTCTTGCCTGTGGCTTTTGTGCACGCCTTTCCCTTAGCCTTTGGAAGTTCTCTCTCCATATATGTACTTGACTTGGCTTACTTTGCTCATTTGGAGAGTCCTGTGTAGCTGACAGGTCTGTTGAAGTGTTACTTCAAAATACGTGCATGTGGTCACGTCCACATGACCACATGATTCCAGCCCTTATGTCGAGTCGTGTCCACTCTTCAAATCTTCACTGAGATAAACTGTCTCTCATGTATCCCTCCCCAATTCCAATCCACACAGTTCAGACCTCTACTCAAGGCCCCCCCCTGCCGCCATCTTTTATGCTTTATTTCTTTATAGCTGTAGTACCATAAGGATGCATATGTGTTATTTCCATTGTGTGTCTTCCACCAAGGATTGCAAATTCTGCGATCTGGTGCCCAGAGGAGTACCCGGCATGTATTAGGTCAGCACCAGTACGGATAATAAACATTTGCCAATCGTGATATTAGTCCTATTCTCAGAGCCCTGTCACACACACTATGAAGCAATCTCAGCCTCTCTGCCCTTGACCCTGAACTGTACCTCAGAATTGCACAAGACAACCATTCATTACTGGCTGAAATTAGCAGATGAAATAGGACCTGTTTACCACGTCTGACCTATACCGTGAATTATGCTGTGTTCTTATTGTTGCAACCAGATATGTGTGCAGATCTCTGATGCCAGAGACCGAGTCTGTTTCTGTCTTGGACACGTAGAAGTTCAAAACGTTCTGGAGGAATTGAAGTGATTTATAACGATATTTGTATCCAGAGTTTGTCAAAGAGAGCTGGTCAACCAAGCTTTCAACAATGGGCGACGAGAAGCACACAATCAACACCTGGCAGAAGAAGCATCTGGAAGTTACCTCCTGGACAAATATGGTGACTGGGGAAGCCAGCTCTAGTCCCAGAGCTCTGAGAGTATGGGCATTCAGGCTGAGCAGCTGTGGCGTTCGAACACCAGCTGTGTTCTGTTTCTCTCAACCCTACTACCTAGACTTGCAATCTGTACACACTGCAGGCAGAGCCAGTGCGTTTACGTACCGGGGCAGGCATTTTGTCCGGGCTTAGGGGAAGAAGGTCTTTGTTACCAGGTGTACTGGTGAGATTGTATTGTTGACCTGACACAAATCAGAGTCACTTGGGAAGAGGGACCCTCAATGGAGAAATTGCCTCCATCCTATTGATGTGTGGGCGTGTCTGTGGGCAATTTGCCTTGATTGATGACTGATGAGAGCCCGGCTCACTGTGGGCGGTGTTGTCCCTAGGCCCAGCTCCCAAATAAATCACACACAGAGATTTATTCTTAGTTATGAATGACTGGCCTTAACTTGGCTTGTTTCTTGCCAGCTTTTCTTGTCTTATGTTATCCAGTCTACCTTTTGCCTCTGGTCTTTTATCTTTCCCTTCTGTAAATCCGACTTTGACTCTTACTCCGTGGCTGCTGCTGGGTGACTGGGTGGCTGGCCACCTGTGTCCTCCTCTCCTTGTTCTTGGGCCCCTCTTCTCTCTCCTCCCAGAGTTCCCCTTGTATTTACACTCTTCTCGCTAGCCCCACCTATTCTTGTTTCTGCCTCGCTATTGGGCACTCAGTTCTTTATTAGAACCATCAGGTGTTTCAGACAAAGAATCACAGCTTCATGGTTCCTCAAATGCAGCGTAGACAAAAGTCACACACCTGAAAACTACATTCCCCAACACTCTGTGGTCTCCAATTCAGTTCATGCTTCCAGGTTTCTGCCTCAGGTTCTGGTCTTGGTTTCTCCTAATATGGACTTGTAATCTCTGAGTCAAAGAAACGCTTTCCTTCTCAAGTTGCTTCCGGTCAGCCTGTTTTATCACAGCAGCGGAAAGCAAGCTAGAAAACTAGGGAATGTAACGTAGAAGAAAAGAGATCTGGAGCTGTCTGAGATCGAGAAGGTTCCGATCTCCTATGTGGATTCCCGTTCATGATAGTCCCAGCGGAAGTATGTTCTCTTATCTGTCTTCTCCAAGGCTTGCTCCTTTCTGGTGTTCCTAAGACTGGATCTCTCTCAATCATTTCTGCCCAAGAACTTGTTATGATAGTTTGTTTGTGTTCTGACAAATAAAGCTTGTCTGAAAATCTAGCCACTGGTTAACCATAGAGGTCTGAAGGTCTGGACAGACAAGAGACAGGAAGTGATATGGCTGGGCTGCGAGAGGAAGTGATAAGCCAGGGTATAGACAGGAGCTTTTTGGTCCGAGGAGTTAGGAGAGGTAAGAGGTGATTGTGGCTGGTCCTTTACTTCTCTGATCTTTCAGGTTTTACCCTGATATCTGAGTTCAGGTTTTTATCATTAAGACTAATCGCAATTGCGCATCAAGAACCTATATACTTGAAGGATGATACCCAGAAAACCGAGAGGGGAATTCCATCTTTGGCCCGAGCCTGCTTTCCCACGGGTGACCCCGACACACTGAGAGCATCACTAAGATTTAGAAAAAGTAAATAGCTCTTCACTAGGAGGCGCTTGGCTGCCTTTCCTCTCTCTACCAGTCAACTGCAGGAACACCACATCAACACAACTATCCTATCCTGATCCAAGTATTTGAGGAAAACCAGAAAAACCCATCCCGACAGAGATGCCTCATGCTGCAAGCCGCTGCCTGCTCAGGGTTCGAGCAGCTGGAAGAATTCTCTGCTATTTATGAAAACCTGGATCCGAATATAGATTCTGGCCATAAGCTCTGAGCTACTTTATTTCTTTAGAAGTAACAAGTTAAAATAAGAATGAGACAGTGAACAGTGGCCATGGTTGGTATGGAAACAATTTTTTTTTTTAATCTGGGAGGAGTTAGCGGGAGGGGTGGGAGGTTGAGAATAAAGATAAGACACACTGTGTGGGATTCCCAAGGAATTAATAAAACTATCTGAAGAAAGAAGTACCGCTTAAATTTTGTTTTATCTCCCTAGCTGAAACGGGGTCTCACTCCATAGCTTCAGCTGCCTTCAAACTCTTGATAATCCTGCAGCCCCGGTCCCCTGCATGTACGTGCCACCCAGATCCACTAAAACTCAAATTCTAAAGCTCACCCCAAAGCTTCGGCTTCTTGTGGTCCTCTGGACTGGTTCCGTTTGTGTGTGGGAGAGGGTGGCAAGGTAAGGGAGACTTAGAATTACTACTCTGGACATTTTCAGAAACTGTCATTGACTTTCAAGACAACGAATGGCAGAGATTTGCCTATGTTAATGCGATTGATTATGGTAAGGTTTTTACACGGGTTAGGGCAAAGCTAAAGGTGCCTTTTTAGATGTTGTCTTACGTATGTTTTGGGACTGGGGGGATGACTGTTTGAGGATTTATATTTTGATGTTCCTCAAACTGACCTGAGAGGTTTCTTTGTTTTATTTATTTATTTGTTTTCCCCTGAGCCCCGTGGTATACTTGGCAAATAAAAGTTGCAGTTGCACAGATGTGTGGTGTGCAAGATAATGTTTTGATACGTGTGTGGCTTGTGAATGGAATAAAAACTGGGGAATCCTTCAAAACAAGGAAACGAGCATCCAAGGGATTATGGGAAAGTAGTCTTCTTGGTTTCTCGTCTTTCATGAGGGTTAGATAACAAAAAAGAAAAAAGAAAAAAAGAAAAAAAAAAAGAAAAGCAAGGCCAGACAAGACCAAATAACTCATCCTTAATAGTTCATAATATGCACTGTCAGGAAAACCTATTTAAGCTTCTCAGGTGGCAGGAAGCTAAACCTAGTTTCTCCTCTTGCTGGCCAGAGGACAGCCTGTCGCCTGGCTGGGTCAGAATCTGTCAGCGTCTGCTGAATCATGTTGACTTGGAGCAGCGGGAGGTCGGGACTCTCATCATCAAGGCCAGCATTTCCATGCAGGTCCATCTGCTCTGCAGACTGTGATTAGTTATGTCTGGAGAGGGACTTGGGATCCTTATCCTTGCTTGGATTTTCATCCTTAGGCATGGGGGGGCGTGGGGAAAAATGTTCACTGTAGGAGTAGATCAGGGTAGGGGAAGTGTGTGTGTGTGTGTGTGTGTGTGCGTGTGTGTGTGTGTGTGTGTGTGAATTGATCAGTATTCCCATCACCAATGGAACAGGAAAGAGAATGCAGGTGAGTTCGGCATTGGTACACCCAGTTGGGTACGGCAAAGAAACATTTCAATGAAATCGAAAGAGCCTGAGAAAGCGAATTGTTGCCATCATGCTCAAGATCTAATACCTTGGCTTCGCAAGAAAATGTATGCGAAATGAGAACAACAGGAACCAGCAGAACAGAAGTGCTTAGAATAGGGGGCAGCCAGAAGCAAAGGATGGACCGCAGGTATTGCCATGTGTCTGGGTTTCCAAAGCAGAAGATCATCCAAACAGATGACAGATGGGGTTTGTCGTGGAACACATTGGCAAGATGGTTATGGCATGAAGCATATGGTATTGGAGGACACTTGCATGTTTGAAGGGCAGAGATTGAGCATTCGGTTGTGGGAGAAGGATAAAGATTGCATTAATCAAGGCTGAAGCTGCGCTAAGCATGGAGGGGCATGGCTGCAGCAAGTGACGTGTTCTCCCTGAAGAGACTGGAGGCTTTGCAAGAAGAGTGTCCTGAACTGACGTGTGTTGGCTCTGACGTGTGTTGGCTCTGTCTGGCCTCACTGTGTTCTCTACTGTGTTGTGACACAACCGGGTGACTCTCCCTTCATGCTGGCAGATGCTGGCAGATGCTGGCTACACGCTCCTGGACTTCTCAGGCTCCAGAGCCCTGAGTCAGATAAACTCACATTCTTTGTGTTGCCCACTTTGTCATCCATAGCCAGTTATAGCAACAAACACTGAAGTCTTCATTTAAAAAACAAAAAAACAAAGAGTCAATGAAGTTTTGAGATATGTGGTCACCTTATAATTTATAAATTATAGGTAGAAGAAAATACAACTATGGCCTACGGTGCTTAACTCAGCTTCTACGGTTTTTGCCAATGACTTCTGACCCTTTCTTTAGCTTTTTGGTTTTGCTTTGTGGTGTTGCTTTGTGATAGATCGCTGGAAACTACAAACAAAGACACACATTATATACATATGTTCTTCATGGCTAACCTTTACCTCAACAATAACTTTTCGGCAGCAGTTAAATTCTTTTAGAAAGAAGAAATTGTTGCTTCTTGCCTACCAGAATCTATCTGTATGTATGTATGTATGTATATACATACATATATATATATATGTGTGTATCTAGTCTAGAAGTAATTCAAAGAAAAGGCTTATGAGTCTTGAGCTACAGAGAAGCATTTATTTCAGAAACATAGCACTCAGGAAAATTCCTAAACTTGGGATTCGTCTGGCTTTCCCTCTGGTATAATTCCTTCTATTCAGCCCATGTCAGAGACAGAAAAACCGAGTTTGTAAAACTTGAAATTTTAGGACCATTGAGCTTTTTTGCATTTGAGTGTTCACAGAATGTTTAAGCTCCTTCTAGGCCAGTAGGATCTGTGAGCCCCAAGATGCTTCTCTGGGGGAGGGGGGCAATTGAGATCCAGCGTGTGTAAAACCCTGCACATTTTTCAGCATCATTCTGTGCAGGTTTCAACCGCCCTGGTGTGCCTAGGCACAACATGCCACAGCTGGGACCTCGTAACTGCGGGAAGGGTGTGGATGTCCCTCACTGCTGGCTTCCTGTGACTCTTTCCCCTAGAGTTACAAAGAGTTCAGCCACTTTGTGAGATCTCCTTAAAGACCTTACTTCCCTTGAAGCTTCAGTAACCTTTTATCTAGATGTCATAGAGCCTTCCAGAGGCTTTCTCAGATTTGCTTCTGAAGGACTTCCTCATGGGCCTACCAATCCGAACCTTTTACTTAATTGCTGCCAGCATTTTCCAAATTCTGATTTCAACCATTCCAATGGAACGGAGATGTTATTATCTTCACACCCCCCCCCCAAGGCCACACAATGCCAAGTGACACACGGCATTGCCCAAGACAGAGCAAAGCGGCACATAACTCGTCTATATGTTGGCAATGGGATCTTCACTGAAAATAACTAAACACAAATGACAGTCATTCAAGCTTCCTTAGTTCAACCCAAGCTCTGGTGATGAAGCACAATGATACCTTTTAAAAAGCTATTCAAAGACACACAGGATTTTACACAATACACAAAATATACAAAACCAGAGATTTTTTTTTATAGCTAAACAATTGGCTTTTTATTGGCTTTTTTTGTGAAATAAAAAACACGAAACAAACCACCATGGTTAAAGGCTAATCAGTGCCAACCAAATGAACCAGCCACTTGGTTCCAGCAGCTGTGAAGGACACGAGTGGATATTATTGCTTACGCCCCATGTTCATGGATGTGTCTGTTAGGTTTTGGCAAGAGTACAATCAGATGGAGCTTTGGTTGTTAAATCTGACTAGGACTACTCACTGAAAACACAACCTCTGGGATTTTAAGGTGGCCATGTGCCATTTCTCCCCGAGTCTTGACATACAGCCTCTCTTTCTATATACCCTTTCCTTCCACTAGCCATTTGCCTGTTCACAAAGTTAAGGGGGAAGGCTTGATCAGCCTCCCTCTTCCGCCACTCCCTCTCCGCCACGAGAGGGTGGTGCACTCCCAGGCCTTTCTAAGCTCTTGATTCTGGTATGTGGCCATGCCAGAAACAATCATCTGCCTGTGGTCTACACAGATTTTTCAAATGCATATGGCATTTGAAGTTTGGATTCAACTATCTCCTTTCCATCTTTAGAAAAAAACCCTAGAAAATAGAAACAAACAAACAAACAAAAAATCAATAGCCCTTAGTATCAGTAAGGTGACCTCCCAACAGGATGAGCCCCAGTGTCCAGCACACAACATCCCGTGGCAGGTGGGGTTCTATGACTCTCTAATGGTGTGTGTGTGTGTGTGTGTGTGTGTGTGTGTGTGTGTGTGTGTACTGTAACATTTTAATCTGCCAAGGGGCAATGATATTGATGCCTCTTGAGAGCTCCCCTGCTCTCCACGTTCGGCTCTAACACTGAATTTCCCAAAGGACACAGGGTCAGAACTACCACACGATAGCACCATTTCCTAGGCTCTTGGGATTTGGCTCCTTTCTCTGCTGGAGAAAGCAAGACCTGGCCTCCAGCGCTGGG